GTGCTCTAACCACAGAGTGGCAAAACTTGCATGATTCAGTTAACAAATATTTGGCCATTTTATTTATTTTTTAAAACCTTTCCTGCAATCTACCTGCTGTGTCACAAATGTTCGGCTAGATCAGGGGCATCAAACATGCGATCCGGGGGCTGGATCAGGCCCTCGGAGGCCCTGGCTGTTTCCTGCTTCCTTTTCCAGTTCTGCTGCTGCTGCTACATCACAGCTTACTTTACCAGACTCTCTCAATCATACAGAAGATAGACAAGCCTCTCCTGTGCAATTGAGAGAGTCTGGTAAAGCACTAGCTGAGGTTCCTCCCCCTTCTCCCAGGGGGTGGGAGGGAACCAGCCAGAGCTTGATTCTTGGCCAGGCTGCCGCAATCGTATACAGGAGACAAAGGGAAGCCTTTCTTTCCTTCCACTGGCTGAGGCTCCTCCCTGAAGGGAGGCAGAGAAGGAGGGAACGAGGGAGAGCTTGCTTTGCTAGGCTGCCTCAATTGCACGGCAGAAATACCAGGCACCTTTAAGACCAACAAAGTTTTGTTCAAGGTATGAGTTTTGTGTGCCTTGCTACCATGTGTGTATTCTATGTGTGTGTGTGTTTTGTTGGGCTCCTTATGCCAGGGCTCTCCTGGTTGCAACTGGGTTCCCTCCCCCTTTTCACTGTATTCATGCCTTCATGATTCAGTCTTTCTCAGTAAGAAAGCAATGTGAACTATTTTAGAGGAGGAATAACAACAAGCCAGTGAGGTGGATTAGGCTAAGAGTGTGTGTCCAAACCAAGTTCACCCAGCATATTTCCTTTGTAGGACGCTGTAGTTATTTCTCTGGGGAAGACTATAGTTTTGTATACAAACAAACAGCCCTCAGTCTGTGTCAGGATGCCTTCTCATGTTCTTGACCAGCAAATGAAGCAACTTATGTACAAAACCTCACAATGCCCAGCCATTTCATGTTTTCCCCTGGTCCTAGACTCAGAACACTGAACATGAGATTTCTATAATGAATGTCAATAGATCAAAAGTAGGTTTGCAACTAACAGATACACACCTAAACAGCATACTCAAGATAGCTACAGCACAGATATTTTGATGCAATAATTCAGAGCAAGAGGTGTCAGTTATCAGAGACTGTTAAATAGACAAAATATTGCAAAAGTTTTAAGCATGTTTTATTTAAAGTTTAAAAAATCTTTGTGTTTGTCTGTGTCCTTTATAAAATTTATATCTCTGCTACCTGGCATTACATTTTATGACACACGTGGCCTGGCCCAACAAGGTCTCATTTATGTCAGATCCGGCCCTCATAACAATAGAGTTCGACACCCCTGGTCTAGAGTGACATCCCATCTCTGCTGAGCTCTCAAGGCACTGCCCCCAAATCTCCAAGAACGTTTCAAGCTGAAGTTGGTAGCCCTACTTCCTGTATTTCTATCTCTCAGCTTTATACTCATTTACTTTTCTTCCTCTGTCTGCTAAAGGGGTCAAAAACTGCAACCCAAAACCTCTCAGTTTGACTGTTCTGAGCAGGCAAGAAGTGGCCAACTTGTTCCATTTGCTGGCAACGACTCACCTACTCTCCCATTGGCTACTGGGGAAGCTGCCTTAGTATCCTATTGCTCCATCCCCCTGGCTCCTCCATTCTTACACCCCCACGTCTGACGCATTGCACCTTGGGAGTTGTAGTTCTCAGCTGGCCTTACTGCAACCGTAGCAAAGGGAATTAGAACTACAACTCCCAACTTGGGAGTCCCAAGAGGCCATGGGGCATTAAACTGTCAGTTAAACAGTTAATCAGTTAAACAGAAAGCAGCTTTGAAATCGAAAGGGGTTGGGGGTGTTAAGTATGCAACTCAACAATGAAGTAAGTAACAAGTGATTCAGCTTTATTGAGAACGATAACTTCCAAAAGAGCACACAGCATCAGACGACACACGACAACACAACAGTGGAGCATAGCTCTTTTTAAACTCTCCCGGGCTGGTGTAGCCACGCTCTCACATAGTTATCATCCAATCATGTTACATAGGTAACAACCAATCATTTGTTTTCCCTCCAGCACAGACTCTTTCATTGGTTACTGTTCATGCTTCAGCCAATGGTGTTGTTCCAGATTAGAATCCGGCTGAGGTTTCAAGCTTAACACTACATGTTAATGGATAAGACACAACAGGGGGGAAAGGGAAGGCCTGGACATCCCTCTGAATTACAATTGATCTTCAGACTACAGCGATCACAGTCCCCAAGGAGAAAATGGTTGCTTTGTTTGCAGACAAACAAACAGCCCTCAGTCTGCGTAAGGATGCCTTCCCATGTTCTTGACTAGCGCATGAAGCAACTTATGTACAAAAGCTCTCAATGCCCAGGCATGTCATGTTTTCCCCTGGGTCCTAGGCTCAGAACACTGAACATGAGATTTCTATAATGAATGTCCATAAATATTTATTTATTTCAGCTTATATTCCGCCCTCCCCCAAGTGGACTCAGGGCGATATTGCAACAACAGTACACATGCCAGATAAGAATGTGGTTGTATTCAAACATACACTTTTTCAGCATTTCTCTTCACCAGTAAAATCCAAACAAACATCCAGAAGATTTTAATAAATGAAGTTAAACAACTGCCTTGCGGGGAGGGGGGTGAGTTTGAGGTGTGGAATGCAGTGAAGTCCAATCAGCTTCCATATGCAAAAGACCTTGAAGGTTCCATATGCAACTGACATTCCAACTGCCTTGCGGGGAGGGGGGTGAGTTTGAGGTGTGGAATGCAGTGAAGTCCAATCAGCTTCCATATGCAAAAGACCTTGAAACGCTGGGCGGGACTGCACAAAGCAGCCAGTCAACCCAGCCAGCGTCTTCTGACTGACAGTTCAAGCGTCCATACACTAAAGGGGCCAAATTTAGAATGTTCATATAGAATGTTCTTACTCAATTATATATAAGGAGAGATATCTCTGCTACCTAGCATTAGTTTTTGTGACACACATGGCCTGGCCCAACAAAGTCAGATCCGGCCCTCATAACAAGACTTTGACGCCCCTGAGCGAGATGGTTGGTACAATTTCTGTCACCTCAGATATACCGCTGTTGAGAGAGTGAATTTATCTCCATGTCAAAGTCTTTCTACATGTGAGAAGCTAACATGTAACGCAGATGGCCAAGCTAGAAGCCTTCTCCCTAGCATGCTAGAATTAAAAATGCAGGGTATAATTTAAACATGAGGTATATATAGTTTCCAGAGACAGAAATCTTTTTGTTGGGAGGAGTGAAATGTGTTCTAACAGGGAAGCTGGCAGAAAGTCTATCACATTAATTCAGGTGTCATTCAGTTTTTTTCACTGGTATTCTAATTTTATAGTTTTAATTGTAATTTTATTCCAAGTTCTATTTCCTTGATCGAAAATCATTTTTAAAATCTGGTATTATGAATGTAAACTAAAATTCAGGTACTCCAGTTTAGGTCAGTCTGAGAAGTACAGTAAATGTAGAAGTGGGACTTGAAGAGACTTTCAAAACATTTAAGAAATGTTGGACTAATGTTTAATTTTGCACTGTGGTTTAGTAAAAAGAAAATACTGAGTGAACATTCTGAAATTAGGGCTTCCAAGATCAGAAACTAATACCTAGACCTAGCACTTCCATTTGGCACCATGGGTTTTGTTCACAAGTGTCAACACATTCCTGGCTGTGGTGTGAACGCCAGCTGTCTGGAAAACATTCTGCCAGTCACCAGCACAGAGTATTAAAATTCTGCGTCTACCAGACATATCCAGGAAAGTAAACTGCTTGTCTTTCTTTAGATAAGCTAATTACCAGGTAAAATGAAATGCAGCAAATTGTGTAAATATATGTGCCACACTACAACAGTTTCTCACATCCCTCCTACAGCCTCCTACAGCCTCCTACAGCCCTTCCCCCATTCCCTCAAAGGAAAAAAGACAGCAAATCGTCCATCAAGTCAATGTTCAAGCTATCATAATTCTAAATTTCCAAGGGCCTGTCAGGAGATTTAAGATTACAAGTGGAGAAACTGAAAGAATTTATGGGCCGAATCTCATTGGCCCATTCCCTCTCTCCCTTGCTTTTCCTCTCTGCCTCCCCCGGCACAACCTGCAGGCCCTTCCTTTTTCCTTGTCTCCCACCCACTTACCTGCTTACCCACTACTCATTGTTTCATACCCTGGCAGCTTCTGGCCCCTCACTCTCCTACCCTTTTCTGTCCCCCCATTTCCAGCATTTCCTTTTTAACTCTTCTGCTCCTCTCCTCCACCTTTACTTTCCCTCTCTCTCCTCCCTTTTACTTTTTTTTTCTGTCCCCCCCCCCCCCGACCCTGCCTCCCCATGCTGACACTAACTGAAGCCTGCAGTCCTCTGCAGTGTGGCTTGTAGGTTGCCTAAAAACCTCCACAATGGCCTCCAAGATATCACAACATACTCTTCCAAGATCTCAGATGCACACTTTTCTTGAAGTAGCAGACGTTGTTCCTGTGATTTAAAAAAAAAAAATCTAACATCCCTATATATTTTTCTGTAAATCTGGGGCTTCTCCCAAGCTTCGAACCCCCACCCCACCCCCAAAAAACCTTCTGTCACTGGCCCCAGTATATATGTTTTGAGTCACAATCTCTGGCCCAGTTCAGAATTACATATAATGAGATGGGAACCCATGAAACTCACAGAGGAGGGAACTCCTATCCCTCTACACTGGCACCCACTTTCTTTCCCTTTTCAGGCTTTCTCTCCCACTCCCATTTTCCTCTCTTTTTCTAGGCTTTTCTTGCCTTCCCCCTGTATTTCACACCCTTTCTTTCTTTGCAGGCTTTTCTCCAACCCCACCTATTCTCCTCTTTCTCTCCCTTTTCTCTGGGCTTCTCTTCCCCTCTGTTTTCCACCTTGTCACCTTTTCTCATCTGTCTTGTTTCTCTCTCTTATTTCCCAGGGCTTTTCTCCACTACCACCCCTGTTTTCTATACTTGCTTTTTCTCTATTTTGCCCCACTCACCACTTTGTGTTTCCTGTTTCAGCCACTGCTGCTGGGATTGCCTAGGCGGAGGATCTAGTACCATGGTTGCTAGGCAACCCCACAGGGTTTCCTCCAGGTCTATAGAAACATGCCCCTTCTCTGTACATGTCCTTATTATGTGGATGTATTGATCTGCATTTTGTGGCCATGTTCAGAATTAGATATTATAGTGACACACACACCATCTTTTGTTGCTAGCACAGCTGAAGGTTACCAGACCACTGTATATTCAGTTCTTTGTTCTTTATCATGGGATCACAGTTTTAAAATTGCTCTGCCCTCCTGAGAATGAGCTGGTGATATCCTTTTCACACTCAGCATGTATTGTACACGTTTGTCATCCCAAACTTTCAACAAGGACATTCATTGCTCTCATTTTCAAAGCACCTCTTAGGATATAGACATGTCACTTCCAGAGAATGAAAAGCCAATTCACTTCCTATAATGATAAAAAGCCACTGATGGATGCCATTTCAATCATGGGGGGAGCCTCTGCCTATATTTGGTGCCAGTAGAGAAAAAATGTCCAGAATAGCAGGTAGCAGAATGTTTTGCTATTCCTCACCCTCTTACTCTAGAACTACCCGGAATAAAACCTTATTTTCAACAAAGAGTGTCATGCCTGGGAGATTTCCCCTCCCCATTTTGATTATGAGAGTAACACAGAAGTTAGTGATGATCAGGGCCAGTGCTACCATTAGGGCAACCTAGGTGACCGTCTAGAGCACAAACATCAAAGGAGCGCAGAACTGACAGCAGGGGTGGGGGTGGGGCTACCTGGCAAGGCCAGTGCATGTCTGTGACGCGGGAGGCGAGGACACTTCTCCTTGCCCACTGGTGGGCACAGGAGAACAGTTCTGGGATGGAGGAGGGTGCCAGCGCCTGCGAGGCCACAGGTCCCATTCTCCCCCAGGCACCCTAGAAGAAGATCTCCCCTCCCCTCCCCATTCACGTTAACCCTCTGTCTCCCAGTCAAGCTGGCCCAGGAACCCTGCCTACTGCTTCTTCTGCAGCCGGCCCTTCAAGTCCATTCCCTTGCCCCTCCGGTGCCTGCGATAGGCCAGTCGATGGTGCCTGGGGGGAGGGCAAAGGACCATGGGGGTGAGCTGGGACCCAGGGCTGGGGCAAACGTCAAGCTGCAGACAGGGAGGGAGAACAGCTGCAGAGGATGAGGGCTTGGGTGAATGCCTTCCGGAGTGAGTGAGTATGTGCACGTGCGCGCAAGCCAGGGCGGGGCCGGGTAGCCGGGTAGGATGGGAAGGCCATGCGTGCCCTCCTTCCCCCTCAGCAATGCAGCCGAGCAGTCCTCATGGGTTTGCCGCAGCCAATGCCACTGAGAGAGGAAGGAGGGTGTGTGTGTATGCGTGTGCAAGCTGGGTGGGGTGGGGTGGAGTGAGAAGGATGTGGGCGCCCTCCTTCTCCCTGTATCTCTCTGTGTGTGTCTCTCGCCCCGTCTCTCTCTGTCCCCATCCCTCTGTGTTTTATGCCCCTCTCTCCCTGCCTTCTTGCCTCCGCGCCTCCCTCACTCTATCCTTCTCTCTCTCTGTCTTTCTTTTCCCCCCTCTGTCTCTCTCTCTGTCTTGCTTTCTCTCTCTCTTCATCCCTCACTGTCTTTCTCTGTCCCCCCCCTCTGTCTCTCTCTTCCCCTCTCTGTCCCTCTCTCTCTCTGTCTGCCCCCCCCCCATCTCTCTCTCTCTTTCTCCGTCCCTCTTTTAACTGTCAAAAGGAGATGGGAAAGACCTCTGCCTGAGATCAGCTGCCAGTCTGAATGGAAAATAGTGAGTTTGATGGACCAATTGCCTGATTCAGTAGAAGGCAGCCTCGTGAATTCAAGGGCAGCAGGCCTAGGAAAGTGCACACAAAATGAGATTCTGATGTGCCTGAAATGGAAACATTAAAGAGACTTAAATTTCAACATCACAATTAACAGGATTTTTCAAAATTCTTTGTGATTTGTGTTTTTGAGAGAGAAAATCAGAGATTGTATTACTTGTTCTCACAATTAAGAAAAAAGAAATTAGCAATTTCAAAATTTGCGTTTTTCATTCTTCCTAAAATGCATTTATGTTTGAAAATTGGTGGGCACACTGGGGGGGGGGCAGAAGGTAGCCTTGCCTAATGTGCAAAATAACCTGGCACCGGCCCTGGTGATTATTATGATACTGAAACACTAGAGGAGCTACATAAGGTTCTTGGAGGATTAAAATATGTAGATGGTTGGTAGGGATAGATTGATGGGTGGGTAGATAGGTAGGTAGGAATAGTTAGCATGTAGACAATGGAAATGTAGAAACGATGATATTAAAGGCCTGATCAGCAACTAAATTTGCCAGGTTATTGCATTCAGAAAGGAATGGTTGTTCAAGGTCCAATCCTTCCAGTCCCCTCAGTAACCATTGCCAAAACCCATCCCCACAGTTGTCATGCCCTCCATACCTCTCTTTTGCCTCTGCTGACTGATGCTTAGACTTGCCATGTTTTCTTTGGGGGCAAGGCATCCTGCCCCAGCAGGCCCTTCCCTCCACCACACAGCTGGGTGGTGGGAGAAAGAAAAGGAGACCATAGGGGGTAACAACCTGCATCCTGATGCACTGATATCACTTCCCATGCAGACAGATGTTATGTCAGTGTGGCACCAGGGGCTCTCTAGCATCCGGGAAAAACTTTATGATTAAACCACAGAGTTTTCCCAAAATGTTAGAGTGTCCCTGGCAATGTGCTGATGTCACTTCCAGTTGCACAATGATATCAGCATGTCACCAGCCACATCAGTACATTGCCAGCAAGGGCCCAACTACTTTGGCGAGTCCCTGCAAACTGACATCAACATGCTGGCAACCCTACTGATACCATAGATCATGGAGTTAGATTTGGGTCAGGTACCATGAACTGTTGACTCCAATCAACAGTGCAATCCTAAACAGAGTTACAGCCTTTGAAGTTCACTGAAGTTACTGACGTCAATACAAGTAATCCTGTCTTGTATTGCACAGTACTGGAATCTTGTCCAGATTTATTTAACTCTACATCTGGACACTTCTTTTAGTGTGGAACCCAACAACTCATTTATTTATTTATTTTATTAGACTTCTATGCTGCTCCATTCCCTGCCAGGCAGGGCTCAGGGCCGCTTACAACAATCAAAATACAATAAATTCAACACATTGAGACGGTTTGGTGTAGCAGTTAAGAGTGGCAGACTCTAATCTGGAGAACCGGGTCTGATTCACCACTCCTCCACATGCAGCCAGCTGGGTGACCTTGGGTCAGTCACAGTTCTCTCAGAGCTCTCTCAGCCCCACCTACCTCAGAGGGTATCTGTTGTGGGGAGAGGAAGGGAAGCTGATTGTAAACCACTCTGAGACTCCGAATGAAGGGTGGGGTATAAATCCAATGCTGCTTCTTCATATTACAGCTTTAAAATCCACGTTGTTATAACTTAAAACCTAAAACGTCTTTACTGCATAAGATGGCGGCGTATGCCCGGTGGAACATCTTAGTCTTACAGGCCTGCAGAAATGAATAAAGTCCCAAAGGGCCCAAGCCTCAGTAGACAGAGAGTTCCACCAGGTTGGGGCCAGGGCTGAAAAGGCCCTGGGCCCTGGTTGAGGGCAGCCGGACCATTCTGGGGCCAGGGATCACTAATAAGTTGTTTCTGGAGGAGCATAAGGCTCTCTGGGGGGTGTATAAGGAGACGCAGTCCCGTCCCGCAGATACGATGGTCCCAGACCATTGAGGGTTTTAAAGGTAAGAACCAGAACTCTGAACCCAGTTCGGTACTCAGTGTGGAGCCAGTGCAATTCATAGAGCACAGGTTGTATATGTGCTCTCAGGAGGGTCCCAGTATGGACCCGTGTTGCCACATTCTGAACCAGTTGAAGCTTCTGGAGCATGTTCAAGGGCAGCCTTCCATAGAGAAAGTTTCAGTAGTCTAATCTACAGGTGACTGTTGCATGGATCACTGTGGCCAGGTGCGCACGGGACAGGTAAGGAGTCAGTTGCCAGGCTTGCAAAGGTGGAAAAACACTGTCCTGGCCGTATCTGTGACCTGAGCCTCCAACAAAAGGGAGGCATCTAGTATCACGCCCAGACTCTTGATGGAGGAAACTGGTACTAGCTGTACTCCGTCAAGCATGGGAAGCTGAATTCCCCACCCCAGACCCCCCAGCTGATGGGTTCTGCTTTAGACTGCTCTGCTTTAACCATCCATCCCACCACAGCCTCCAAGCAACTGGCCATATCTTCTGGGATTGTATCTGGCCATCCATCCATTAACAGATACAGCTGGGTGTCATTTGCATTTTGATGACACCCTAGCCCGAATCTCCTGACTAGCTGAGCAAGAGGGCACATATAGATATTAAACAACATTGGGGAGAGGATCGCCCCGAGAGACTCCACACACCAGTGGATGTTGCAATGAGACCCTCTCTCCTAGCACCACCCTCTGTCCCCACCCTTGGAGAAATGAACATAGCCACTGTAATCCAATGGCGACGAGGTGATGGGTCAACAGGTCATGGTCAGCCGTGTGGCGAGGCGATGGGTCAACAGGTCATGGTCAGCCATGACAAATGCTGCTTTGAGACCTAACAACCACAGCAGTGCAGACCCGCCTCTGTCCAGTTGTCTACGGAGATCGTCTATAAGACACAGCAGTGCAGACCCGCCTCTGTCCAGTCGTCTATGGAGATCGTCTGTAAGAGTGACCAGCACTGTCTCCATCCTATGTCCAGGATGGAAGCCGGACTGGAATGGGTCCAACGCCAATGTGTCCTCCAGGAAAGCCTGCAGCTGGGCTAGCTTCAGAACACAAAGAGTAACTGAATAGCCTTTCTTTGGTTCCCCAACAATATGACAGCTGGAACAGCCACATTATTTCAGTAGGATCTGGATGTATGTCTGAAATGTCAGATTAAAGAGGGGGGGAGTTTGATTTAAAATTCTGTAATCTGTCAGGACACACAGTTAGTAGAAATTGCAGTCATAGGCTATTAATACCCATACACAAGCTGAAAAGAAAAAGAGGATGAAGAGATGTTA